TCCTTCCGGATTCCAGAGCCGAAACACACGGTACATCTTCCCTCTTCCAAATACCTTTGCGCATTCGCAAGCACAAGCCCAGTCGCGGACTGATTCGAGTTAAAGCTTTATCCTTTCTGGTACTGAAGAAAGATTCATATTGGACAGGACTTATCTGCAGGTTTCTTCATTCCCGTGGTTGGCTCGACCTTACCTTCTCCTGTTTGCTAGCTCTCCTGTGTAACTCCAAATCAAATTTCCTTTCTCGACCTTCGATTCCTTGCGGGACATGCAAACTCATCCACGGCCTTTCTCCCCAGCTTCTTCAATTCCTAATTTTGCCGAGCAGAAGATTAAGCCCAATCCGCTTCTTTTTCTGGCTATCATCTCATTCTCCACTCGCAGAACGAGCCAAGCCAGAAAAGGTTGACGTTTTGATAAGGCAAAGAGAAAAGTAACCCATTTTCTCTGTATTATACCGAGTACATGTCGGTCGTATCCATTGGTGTATCAAGTTTTGTCTCAAAATGAGTGTTCAGGCATTCACCATCATCCTTGAGTCCGCCTCAGGGGAGTCCTCCTCCTTGGGATGGTTCCCACGCGCGAATCTCTCGCAATGGTCCTACCTCCGGCATCGGTTCCTGACCTCGACGCGGCCTTGTCTCCCCAATCCATACATTCCAGAGAACGTTATAAACTGCTTCTCTGAATTTTTCCTTATGATTCGGACCTACATATTGTTTTATTACATCTTAATATTCATTTACCTTGGTATGCTCAACTATTTCTGCTTTATCAACCATCGTATATTTCGTATGTTATTCTTAGTCACTTCTTTGGAAGGAATCTCATCATCCTTGTTGGGCAACTCTTCAGGGTTCTTGTTATTAGATGACAATACATCATATTCATCCTTACAATTGCACAGTTTCCCGAATAAATCATTCATTAAATACTTCTAAAATAATTATATTTTTATCTATCTTATTTCGCTCAATTGTGATTACAGATAGTTTAATTTAATTTGTTGCAGATATATTATGCAACGTGGCTTCTCGTTTATTAGGTTTTCAGAAACTTATTGTGTTTTTATACATAAATGGTTTTTATTGATCTCACAAAGCTAGAAGCTTGTGAGATGCGCAACATAGTTGCTCTTATGCTGGATTGCATAATGATATATGGTTCTGATTTGCAAGAAAAGATACATTTTCATAATTAATAGCTCATTCATTTTACTCAAAATTAGAAAACAAACTCAAATTTAGAACACAAATGCTCGATAGTATTAATTTCCTCGTACTA